AAGAGAAAAGTCAACCCCTAGGTGGATGTCCATACCACGGTGCCCTCTCTTCCAGTCTCCTCTCCAAATTGTGGGCACAGGGAAGGGGAGAGCTGGCTTTAGCTTGGCGAGGACTTAGATGGCAGAACCAGAACCGAGGCTTTTAAAGTGCACAATGGCAACTCTTAAGGATAAACTCATTGCACCAGTTGCAGAAGAAGAGGCAACAGTCCCCAACAATAAGATCACTGTAGTGGGTGTTGGACAAGTTGGTATGGTGTGTGCGATCAGCATTCTGGGAAAGTCTCTGACTGATGAACTTGCCCTGGTGGATGTTTTGGAAGATAAGCTCAAAGGAGAAATGATGGATCTGCAGCACGGAAGCTTATTTCTTCAGACACCTAAAATTGTGGCAGATAAATATTACTCTGTGACCGCCAATTCCAAGATTGTGGTCATAACTGCTGGAGTCCATCAACAGGAAGGGGAGAGTCGTCTCAACCTGGTGCAAAGAAAAGTTAATGTCTTCAAATTCATTATCCCCCAGATTTTCAAGTACAGCCCCGGCTGTATCATAATTGTGGTTTCCAATCCAGTGGACATTCTCACTTATGTTACCTGGAAACCAAGTCGCTTTGCCCAAGCACCTTGTGATTGGAAGTGGATGTAATATGGATTCTGCTAGATTTCTCTATCTCATGGCTGAGAAACTTGGCATTCATCCCACTAGCTGCCATGAATAGATTTTGGGAGAACATGATGACTCAAGTGTGGTCGTGTGGAATGGAGTGAATGTGGCAGGTGTTTCCCTCCAGGAACTGAATCCAGAAATGGGGATGGACAATGACAGCAAGAATTGGAAAGAAGTGCATAAGATGGTTGTTGAAAGTGCCTATGAAGTCATCAAGCTAAAAAGATATACCAACTGGGCGATTGGATTAAATGTGGCTGATCTCACTGAACCCATGTTGAAAAATCTGTCCAGATTCATCCAGTGTCATCCGTGGCAAAGAGGATGTATGGCATTGAGAATGAAGTCTTCCCGAGCCTTCCATGTATCCTCAATGCTCAGGGATTGACCAGTGTTATCAATGAGAAGCTGAGAGACAAGTTTTCTCGGCTTAAAAAGAGTGAAGATATGCTGTGGAACATCCAAAAAGACCTGAAATACCTGTGACTACTGAGTTCTAGGCTGTAGAAATTTTAAAAAACTACAATGTGATTAACCATGAGCCTTTAATTTCCATCCAGGTATGTGGATCATAGTTTGCTTTTACCTTAATATGTGAATATGGGCCCACAGAATCAAAGCCCATGCTTGGTTTAATGTTTGCAATATGAGCCCTTGAACAAATAAAATTAACTCCTATAGTGTGAAAAAACAAAAAGATAGAAGATCAAACCTGTAATAATGTATACACTCAACAGCAGGTTTTCAGTAGATGAGTCAGCCGTCTATTGCAAGAAGATACCATCTAGGTCTTTGAAACTGAAGAGAAGTCACAGCCTGGCCTCAAAAGTCCAAAGGACAGGCTTACACTCTTATTAGGGGTTCATACAGCTGGTGGCTTGACATGAAGCCAGTGCTTATTTGCCATTCTATTATTCCCCAGATTGTCAAGTACAGCCCCGACTGCATCATAATTGTGGTTTCCAACCCAGTGGACATTCTCACTTATGTTACCTAGAAACTAAGTGGCTTGCCCAAGCACCGTGTGATCGAAAGTGGGTATAATCTGGATTCTGCTAGATTTCGCTATCTCATGGCTGAAAAACTTGGCATTCATCCCACCAGCTGCCATGGATGGATTTTGGGAGAACATGGCAATTCAAGTGTGACTGTGTGGAGTGGCGTGAATGTGGCAGGTGTTTCTCTCCAGGAACTGAATCCAGAAATGGGTACAGACAATGACAGCGAAAATTGGAAGGGAGTGCATAAGATGGTTGTTGAAAGTGCCTATGAAGTCATTAAGCTAAAAGGATATACCAACTGGGCGACTGGATTAAGTGTGGCTGATCTCATTGAATCCATGTTGAAAAACCTGCCCAGGATTCATCCAGTGTCAACCAAGGTGAAGGGAATGTATGGCATCAAGAATGAAGTCTTCCTGAGCCTTCCGTGTATCCTCAACGCTCGGGGATTGACCAGTGTTATCAACCAGAAGCTGAAGGATGATGAGGTTAGGTTGCTCAGCTCAAGAATAGTTCAGATACGCTGTGGGACATCCAGAAAGACCTGAAAGACCTGTGACTACTGAGGTCTAGGCTGTAGAAATTCTAAAACTACAATGTGATTAACCATGAGCCTTTAGTTTCCATCCAGGTATGTGGATCACAGTTTGCTTTTACCTTAATATGTGAATGTGGGCCCACAGAATCAAAGCCCATGCTTTGTTTAATGCTTGCAATATGAGCCCTTAAACAAATAAAATTAACTCTTGTAAAAAAAAAAAATTGTGGGCACACATGCATACATTCCCAGTATGATTTTCAAGCCACTGGGTCCAGGACTCAAACTTCATAGTCAGCCCTGTGGGATCCAGCACCATAACTGCATGCTACCTGCTTGCCCACCCTTATCTGTTTTTCTGTTGAAGTAAAAATCAACAGCTCTGCTGTCAAATTTATCCAAAATTTAATCACGTCTCTCTACTTTCTCTTAGATTGTTTCAGTGGAACTAGTCTCTCTGTTTTTAACTTTACCCCCATACACAGTGAATTTTTGACAAAGAACCCAGGGGATCCTTTTAAACATGGCAGATTATATCATTACTCAGAACCATTCTGTGCCTTGTCATCTCAGAATACAAGTCAAAAGCCATGGTATACAGGTTCTCCATGATCTTAGTGCTCTGCTACCTTTCCTGTCTCTTCTAACTTCCTTCCTTGCTGTTTGCTCCAGGCACACTTGAGTTTGGGCCAGTTGACATGTTTCTTTTTCTTCAGAAGAATGTATGTGTTAGGATTTTGCTTTGTTTGATGCTGTATACCCCAACAGGAAACTCTGCTTGGCATATAGTGAGAGTTAATTAAATGTTTGATGGGTAAATGGGTAACTAAATGAATTCTAGAGTAATTTCAACTTCTAGACATTCAAGACTTCATGAAAGGAAGTCTGAGGTTTTCAAAAAGATAACAAATATTAGGAGGAATTTCTGTGCTGGGAAGGCAATTAATTTAATTTTGGACACGTTGAGTTTGATATGAGCATAGAGAACATCAAGGTAGATGCTCTATTCAGTTTAAGGAGTAGAAACAACACATAGGGCAAAAGTCGGAGGTGAAGATAAAGAATAGTTTTATTGTTAGATGGATAATTATTTAAGCAATAGATATTATTCATATTAACCTAAAATGGTAAGTAGTGAAGAATTCCAGCTTCAGAGAGAAGAATATTTTTTAAGAATCAGGAAGAGCCAAGAACAGAAGAAATAGTGGAGTACAGTGTTGGTGAGAATTTTAAGAAGGAAAAAGTCAGCTATCACAACTAGCAAGAAGATCATGTGTTTGGGGGTCATTAGCAACTATTTATATGAATAGTTTCTATAGAGTACTAAGAGAAATACGAGTTCTCTGAACACATATTGAGGAAGTAAAAATCACTAGTTCAAGAAGGTTGATGGGTAGATAACGGTATTAGCTTGAAGCAGAGATGATTCGGAAAATAAAAAAAAATTAAGGGTAAATAAGGCTTTCAGACTAAATGAAAGGGGTACTTAAAAAGATACAAGCAGGGACCAGCAAATGGCATAATGATTACGTTGCTGGACTCCCAGTGTAGTCAACCACAGTTCAGTCCCGGACTCAGTGACTTAAACTCACACTGTGAGTGTGTGCATGCATGCCCAAACTCCCGAGAGAATAATGGAGGAGAAGGGATTGTGGTGTGGCCATCCCCCTGTAGATGGGGGTGGGGTATGTGTGTGTGAATTCACACTTTATGTCTCTCTGTCTCTGTGTCTCCATTAAGTGCACGTACCCTGTAACAAAAATCTCTCTCAAAAAAAAAGATACAAACAGATGGAAGAGAAA